AAAGACGGTTGTGCTGGAATTGCGAGCAGCGCGCTGGCAAGAAATCGGTTAGCATCGCTCCAGGGCGGCACCTCGTCTGGGCCAGGTGTCGCGGACGGTATGCTTTCACATTCCCAGGCTAGGAGTGCCGCACGTCGATGTCGCTATAGCACACGCAAGAACCATGAACATATTTTTCCCTATCATAACAGCTTTACAAATTATTGAGAGCTCTTTGGGGCTTGAAGGAATGCGAGACCGTTGACATGACAAACGCAACTTTGTTCGGGTCGAGATTCTTCACGTTCGTCAACCGTAGCAAGTTACTGGTGTAAAAGAGATAAAGGATGTTATGATGGAATTGCGAGATGCGCGCTGGGGAAGAAAGTGGTTGGCCGCTCCAGGTAGGCTTCACGTCTCAGCCGGGTGGCCGGGCACCTGTGCGGTTGCAAAAGTAATGATGCATAGCAGCAATGAACCGGAACCACCAAACGCAAACTGTTTCCTGGCCCATCGCGATTGTCTCCATATGACGAACGTTGATGTTTGGCCCGTTCGCTGTTGACAACTGGAGTGGCGTCGGCTGGCTGCAGCATTGCGTCCACATTGCTTACGACCTCTACACCGTCTTCATTAACGCCGGTAATGGATTCAGTGAAATTTAATATCTGCTTTAATTGCCTTCCACGCTTTGGGAGCTTCGGGTCCCAATGTTTTGCAGCGTTTGCTCCGGTCAGAAACAGTCCGATTCCTCGTTGACTTTCGGGCATGAGCTTCCAAACAGTATCCATGGCATTAAAGTACTATGATATGGTTAATATGTATGTCTCCTGTAAGATTCTAGCGCCAATGGCATGGACAGTCCATTTTTGGCTGGAGAAATGAACTTGTACGGTCGGAACATTATTTGTTCTTAACTTTCAGGACCACGAACAATTTTTAAACCCGAATTCGGAAATTATTCCTCAAGAACAATAACGCTGTTACTGGCTCTCTTCCGGTGGGGCCCTTGTCACAGCGCATCCGGACAAATGTCCGACGCCTTGAACTCCCGTCCTCCTACTCCAAAACTCCCCCGTCCCTCCGCTTTTTCCGCCACTTTCCCCCTTTTTACCCATAAGGGATTACACTACCGTAAAGTAGAGGCAAACCCATATGGGCACAGCCCCGACCGTGCTGATAGGGCCTCCATCGGCCCCAATTAGTCCACTTGCTCATTCTTCATTTTCTCTAATTGCTTCACCCGGCCCACCCCTCCCCGCCCACCCACCTGATTGCACCAATACGCCCAACCACCCAACTACCCAGCAGCCCTTCCCACATGCCCAGCCCACATGGCTTTCCTGCATGCCCTTCTCAGCAGCCCTTACCATTCGCCCTGCCCATCTGCCCTTCACCTGCACACCTGCCCTACCATATAGCAAAGCAGAAAGCCAAGGCCGCCTAAAATCTGACCGTATTTCGTGACTCCGTGCAGAAGTCTCGGCTCAGTTATGAAAGGCTATGAATGCTCACTGCCCCCTAGAAGGCAGTGTGGGTTGGAATGCGCATTTTGAACGGTTACTGAATGACATTGCTGGTCAAGCTGGTCCAGTCGCTGCTCAGAGAATCCTTAGCTAATTAACGGCTGTGATAAATCTGGCGATAAATCCTTGCAAGTTCGCGTGTCGGGGAAAACACAATGAACCTTTCACCAGTGTTTTTTTTTCGTGGAGGCCGATCCTGAATCTGTTACGAGTTCCGTAATAAATATGCCATCAGTCCAATACGTTTATTACTGTCAGAATTTTTTTTCTGGGGGGGCAAGCCCCCCCAGACCCCCCCTGCCCACACAGGGTACATGATACACCAGCACATATTTAATAAATATTTCATTAGAGTCTCAGCTGTTTCCGTCCGTTGCCACATGCGTTCAGGATTATGTCATACGTTTTCACCATGACACCACAGCCAGTACAATGCCCCAGGGCATAGCAAACTCGTCAGTTGTGCATGTAACGGCCACGCTTCTCAGCCCTCTGCAGCCACTTCTCCACCGCCTTGTCATACGGGAAGGACGAGCGGGTGTAGAAGTCCTGGGCAAACGTACGCAAGCACAGTATCAAGCTGGTTGCGGTGCTTATTCTTGACGAAAGACATTGCTGAGAACCGCCTCTCATCCTCCACTGACCCTGGCACCATCACAAACACAATCTCCGCCAGCTTTGCAAACTCTGAAATGGCCATGGCCTGCCCAGCGGGGCTCATCAGCCGTCGCCAGCAGGCTGTGGCGGACGGAAACCTCTCCCTCTGCTTATGATGCCGCTTCTTCCCCTTCTTCCCTTTCTTCCCCTTCCCGCGCTTGCGGGATGCCCTGCGCCTGCGAGAAACGCCCCCCGCATCGGAACCACCGTTGCCCCTCTGGTTCTAATGTCTCTCTTGTACTCGCTATATTGTTTGAAGTGTTACCAGCATCGCCGCTACTGGGTTTTGGCCTGCCGGTGGTCAGGATGCTTTGACGCTACCCTGACCAGCTATAGTAGTTAATTTCTTGGGCCCATCGCTCATTTATAACTTATTTATACTAAAATAGAACGTCTCTGGGGGCCTTCGGCCCGCCACGGCTCCGTAATGACCGTACCAGGCCTTTACCATGGTCTATGACGGAGCGCAGAACGCAAATATGCCATTTTATTACGGAACCGTAATATATTACGGAAAAAAAATACACTAGGGTGAAAGGCTTTCACCCTAGATGAGGTTACGCAGGTGGCGAAGAACCTCCCCAACAGGAAGGCTACACGACGTGAGCGCATGCCGGCAAAGTGCTCTAAGTGCAATTGAGCACAGATGCTGCGGAAGACAGGCAGAAATTAACCAGCTAGTGCCGTTTTACATACCCGCTTGGAGCACATCAGGGTAACGGGTGACTTCCATGTGCAGTTCACTACCACCGTGTTATTGCCCCTGTCCAAAAAGAAGGGTGACGGATCTGTCATGGCAAATTACCAAGACATTACAGTTAGTGGGCGGGCCGCAGGCTAAATGCTATGTTTCTATTATCCTCCAAAATTCGGTTAAAGCTAGAAGGGACCTCAAGCTTAAGCACTGAGTGCTGGCTGGTTTTAGGGTAGGGCTGGTACCATGCATAACCTTTTAGTCAAGCAGCACCTCACACAGTCTATTGCCAATGCTGGACCACCCAACCTTTTCTCGTCCAGAGAGACTTTGAGGGAGCCTTCGACAAGGTTCCACCAGAGGGTTGCAGAGATGGGGGATTGGGGGCAGGTACTGGTCAGGCGGGATGGGGAATAGGGTTGACGACGTCAGGATGGGATGTGGGGCCCAAGGCGAGGATTAGGGATTAGGCGTGCTACACTACTTTTGGGATGGGGATTGCTGTCGGGGGTGAGGATGGGGATGGGATCCCTGTCTGAGGGATGGGGATTGCAACCTTGACCAAGGAGGGGATTGGGAGCCCTGGCCAGGGATGGGGATGGGACCCTGGTCGACAGGACGGGGATTGCAGGCTTTCGCAAGCTTAGGATGAGCTCGCTGCCATAGGATTGGGAACACAGTTGGAGGATTAGAATTGGGTGTTCTGCTGTAAAATGAGGCTGCAGGTGCAGAATTGGGAATACTGACAGGACTGCAAAACAGGCCAAGGATGAATGGTTTAGTTGTCCATAGTTGCTTACATGGAAACTCAAACAAACACAAGGAAGTTCTGCTTGCAAGTCGCGTCCCATAGCAAACCAAACTCAAACACAAGGAAGTTCTGCTTATAAGTCGCGTCCCATAGCAAACCAAACTCAAACACAAGGAAGTTCTGCTTATAAGTCGCGTCCCATAGCAAACCA